CTCGTCTGCCACATCTTATGTTGTTCCCATCCTACTTCAGGACCGCATCCCAGAAAGAATTACCAGCACCCAGAAAAGTGTCAAAAGAGTATCGAAGCAGTGTCGGGCGCGTGTCTCCCAGGGCCCGACACGTGAAAACCCTTGAGTTTCTTCGGTACTTGTTGTTGCCCCTCGAAGTTCTTTCTGGTGATCAAGGCTAAAGTAGGCTGGAGCATCACAAGCCACATCTCGAGATGCCCCTTCCGCCAAATGAGCGTCAGGAGGAGTCCTGCAGAGAGCGGTGACACAGGTGACAGCAACAGTAAGTCGGGCGTGTCCCCCCACAAGGGGATTTGCGACGAAAAATAAAACAAATTCGAAAAATACTCCAGAATGGCGCCGCCCCTGGCGCGCTCCGCCCGCCGGGGAGGGAGGTCCAGCGCGGATCCGAGAAATCCGCGCGGACCTCCGAGTTTTTATGTTTATGTCATTTTTCGTTCCCCTAAAGTGCCCCAAACTTGTCAAAAAATGATCACAAATCGTCCCCTGACTAGTTATTTTTTGGCTATTCTTGAATATCCCCCCCTGTAGAAGGACAGGCCCGACTTAACACAAGAACGCGGCCTCAACCCCACGGAATCCATGAAAAGAGCTGCCTTCCCAGACCCCCGACGTAATGATTTTTTCATTACGTCGACCCCCAGAGGTCCCGACCCTTTCCCCATGACCGGTTTTGCATCCTGAGTCGTTTTTTGACGCTCCCGAGGCCCGGTGAGGGCCCCTGGAGGGCGAAAATAGCGAAAAACCTCCCGTCGTGATTTTTTCATGACTCGAGGAGGTCTGGGTTGGATGCAGCGCAGCACTACAGGGAGACCAGCCGGAGACTCCGAAGGCCGACCCCTGCGAAACCTCCCCCCGGGTGAGCCCAGAGCCCCGACGTCGTGATTTCTTCACAACGTCGACCCCAGAGCAGCTCCTCCTCCTCCTCCTCCTCCTCCTCCTCCTCCTCCTCCTCCTCCTCCTCCTCCTCCCCTTCCTCCTCCTCCTCCCCCTCCTCGTCCTCCTCCTCCTCCTCCTCCTCCTCCTCCTCCTCCTCCTCTCGCGCTTGGAGGGAGGCCGCTTCTTAGAAGGCGCCGGCCTTGCTTGCATCTGCAGCTCAGGCCCGCGCCTTTTAAGAAGCGGGGGTGCTTCCAGGAAGCCCTCCCCCCTCCCCCCCCACCCCCCTCTGCGCGTGGCTGAGGCTCTTCGTCCTGCATCGCTTCTTGACGGTCCCGAGGCCCGGTGAGGGCCCCTTGAGGCCGAACATGCCGAACATTTGGACGCCCGAAAGGGGCACGGAAAACATGGGTTACAATGCCCAACAACAATTGTTGCCCCAAACCTACAGCAGCCGCTGTTGGGCAGGCGGCCTTCTGTCTCAAGAGGACACAGGCCGCGGCGACACCGACAGGCGAGTCCTGTTCAACACGAACAAGAGCTGCAGGGGGGACGAAGGACCGTATGGAGGAGGGAGGAGGAGGAGGAGGAGGAGGAGGAGGAGGAGGAGGAGGAGGAGGAGGAGGAGGAGGAGGAGGGGGAGGAGGAGGAGGAGGAGGAGGAGGAGGAGGAGGAGGAGGGGGGAGGAGGAGGAGGAGGAGGAGGAGGAGGAGGAGGGGAGGAGGAGGAGCATCGTGCCCATTCTTTCCGTGCCCATTTCGCTCGTGCAGAGAGCACCGCGAAAAACCTCCCGCCGCGCTTGCTTCACACCCGCGAGGGGGGGCCTGGGGCACGCCGCTGCGGCCCTCGAGCCCGCCGCCCCCGCCCGCCTCCGCCCGCCGCCGCCCGCCGCCCCCCGGCCACGGGGCGTGGCGACGACGGCTGCGCCCCGCCGCCCAGCCCCGGGCCCGCTCCCCCGATCGAAAGGACTATCAAGCCTGCTCGGATGCTGCTGTGTGTTGTGTGCCAAGCGCAGGCAGCTTTCGCCCTCCAGGGGCTCTTCAGCCGAGATGGCACTGCACAGAAGCATCGGATGAAAGGCCGCTCGCCCAGCCTGGGGCCCGCTCCACCCGGACTTCGACCCACGAGACCCCTCGCAGTCCGCCGTGCGCGGCGGACCCTGAGAGCCGACGCTGCCAACAAAACTGCAACATCGCAAAAAATCACGCCCGGAGACCCGGACCTCCTCTTTCCGCGTCATTGTTCGAGCCCGATCGATCCGTGAGGAGGGTCCCGGGGCCCGAAGTCGAGGAGAAAGCGCCCGTTGCAAAAATTGCAACGCCAGGCTCTCAGGGGATGCCGGCCGCGGCGGCGAGAGGCCTGCCTGCAAGAGGCCTGGGGCGGGGGCGAGGAAGGAGCGCCCGGCCGGGAGGTCCGCCGCGCATGCCTCGCCCGGCCCTCCCTCCAAGCTGTTGGGCCCGCTCTCCGCCACCACCACCACAAGTTGGAGGGTGGAGGGGGTCCTCCTCCTACTCTTCCTCCTCCTCCTCCTCCTCCACCTCCTTCCTCCTCCACCTCTTCTTCCTCCTCCTCATCCTCCACCTCCTCCTCCTCCTCCTCCTCTTCTTCCTCCTCCTCCTCCTCCTCCTCCTCCTCTTCCTCCTCCTCCTCTTCCTCCTCCTCCTCCTTCCTCCACCTCCTTCCTTCTCCTCCTCCTCCACCTCCTCCTCCTCCCCCTCTTCTTCCTCCTCCTCATCCTCCACCTCCTTCCCCCCTCCACCTTATGGCGGTGGTGGTGGTGGTGGTGGTGGTGGTGGTGGTGGTGGTGGTGGAAAACACAAGCTCATCACGAGCTCTCCACCTCTCCGGGCGCGCCTTGCTGAACGGCTCCGGCCCTTCGAACACGTCCCGGACCATGGTGTAGCCTGAGTCTGCGTGCGTGCGTCTCTCTTTATCTTATTTTCTTTGGTTCTCTCTCTCTCTCTCTCTCTCTCTCCTTGAGTGTCGGGGGTGGACAAAGCTCCCTTTCGTAAACCACCCTCTAATGGAAACGGCCCAGGACCGAAACCAACGGAGCCAGACCCGCAAAAAGGACGGGCGCGACGCCCTCTCGCGAACCGAAAACGGCCAACTCGCTGATCGACGCGTCAGGGTAGGAGGTCGATCGACCTCCGAACAATTCAAGGACTCACATTAATCCGCTCAGGCCCGACTTGGTCGGTCAGGACCAGGATTGGCCAGGGCACCCTCCCAGGCGTGGCTCGCGAGGGGCCCAGAACTCCGACGCCGCAGCTGTTTCGCACCGTGGGCCCCCAGAGGTCTGGACCCCTTCAATCGGTTTCGCGAACCGAGAACGGCCAAATCGCTAATCGACGTGTCACGGTATTGAAGGGACCCTGGGACACACAACTAAATACACACAAATAAGAAGATTCCCAAATCTTGTCCTATAGTTTCTGTTTTTTTTTTCTTCCCCACCACTTCCCATAGTTTCCCATATTTTCGGAGGAATCGAGGATTAATTGTGTATGTGTGCTTCTTTCCCTCCTGAGGTATGAGGTTTCTCTCTCTCCCTCGAGTGCCCCTCGCGCGGCTGCGCCCGGGGTCAGCATGCGGCGGCGACGTGGGAGCAGGGTCGGCGATTACAGGAGGCCCACAGCCAGCACGCGGGCGAGGCGGAGAAGGACGACGACGACGAGGAGGGAGGGGGAGGAGGGGGAGGAGGAGGGGGAGGAGGGGGAGGAGGGGGAGGAGGGGGAGGAGGAGGAGGAGGAGGAGGAGGAGGAGGAGGAGGAGGAGGAGGAGGAGGGGGAGGATGGGAGAGATGGGGGAAACGGGAGGAACAGGACGCGCGCGGATAAGCCTCGAGAGGGCGCATTTAGCCGTGCTCTCATGCTGCGGGGCGACCATCGCAGGAATGCGCGGTGCTCCACGCCCTTCCTTCGGCCCCAAGGGCCCCGAATCACTTCACCCCTCCAGCCCTCTGTGGTTCGCCGGCTCCTCCGCCACCTGGCAGCGCAGTTTCACCACGCAGTCAAGCAGTTCCGCTGCGCCCTCCGCGATGATGAGCGCGTTTTCCACCACCACCACCATAAGTTGGATGGGGCGAAGGGGGAGGAGGAGGAGGGGAGGAGGAGGAGGGAGGAGGAGGAGGACCCCCCCCCCTCCAACTTATGGTGGTGGTGGTGGAAAACACGCTCATCACGCGAGACTCCGAGACTTTTGCGCGCCGCCACCCCGACCTGCTCCTCGAGCTCGTCGGCGCGCCTCGCACCCTGAGGTCCTGGTGCCGCGTGTCTGCCGCAGCGGGCCATCCTGCCTCCGTGGCGGGCCTCCTCGGGCCTCGGGGCCCTTCTCGGATCGATCCGGCGTGGAGGATGTGATCTTGGCATGGTGGTGCCCGCCCCTCCTCCTCCTCCTCCTCCTCCTCCTCCTCCTCCTCCTCCTCCTCCCCCTCCTCCTCCTCCTCCTCCTCCTCCTCCTCCTCCTCCTCCTCCTCCTCCTCCTCCTCCTCCTCCTCCTCCTCCTCCTCCTCCGACCAGAGCCCCAGAGGGGGTCTGGGGCTCTGGTCGGGACCGCTATCGACGCGGCAATGTGCTCGCAGCGTCGGGTCCCAGGGCAGCGAGAGCAGGGCTCGGCACGGGCGGATGCGTGGAGCGCAAGCGGTGCACGTGCACGCGCGCCCGCCTGCTGTCGGGGCTCGGCTGCGCAAGGCTACGCTCTGGGTGTCAGCTTCGAGCTGTGGTTCAGCACGACGTGTGCACGTCGTGTCAGATACCGTCCAATACGGATGGACGTAAAGGAACGGCATTGAATACATGATCATTACTCGCTCCTCCTCAACTCGCCTCCTCCTCCTCCTGCTCCTCGTGCTTGTTTTCCCTCACGCCCTGCCTGTCCTCCCCTGTCAGACCGTCTATGCGCAACCTCACGCGTCAACGAGATGCGCGTGCGAAGTTGAACAGTCATGGTCGTCTGCCTTCTGCCCGAACGCAATTTCGGAAGAGGGCGGGGAGGACGAAAGAATAGGGCGCAACCACCAAGTAAGCCACCCGTCACCCTGTGCAGCGCGGGAGGATGGCTGCGACCTCCGTGCTCGGCGGGGGCGACGACGGGCGACGGCAGCGCAGGGAAGCAGACGACACCAGAGGGGTCAGGACAGTAGGCTGGGCACCACCGCCCTGGTCGCGAAAAAAACGCCCTCCCCGCGCGCGCCTTCAGTCGGGCCGTAACACCCTAACACCCTAAAGCCCTAACACCCTAACACCCTAGGTGGATACTTTGGGCGAAAAACTCCAAGGCACTCAAGAAATGCTCCCCGAAAGGCTCACAAATAGTCAAAATGTCCTTCCCAGACTATTTTGTCTGACTAGTTTTGAGTATCCACCCTGTAGAGGGACAGGCCCGACTTGGCCCTCGCCGCTCGCCCCTCGCCCGAGAGGCGACGACGGGCGACGGCAGCGCAGGGAAGAAGACGACACCAGAGGCGCCAGGACAGCAGGCTGGGCACCGCCGCCCTGCTCGCGAAAAAACGCCCCAACAAAAGCGAGCAGGGCGGCCTCCTCGCCCTCGCCCCTCGCCGCTCGTCGGGGCGGCCGGCGCCTGGCTTCAGCTGCAGCAGCGAGAACTCCACGGCCTGCCGCGGGAGGTCGCCCCACTCGAGGCGGCCGGCCACGCAGCCCTGCTCGGAGGGGGGGAGGGGGGAGCAGGGAGAAGGAGGGAGGAGGGAGGAGGGAGAAGGAGGGAGGAGGGAGCAGGGAGGAGGGAGGAAAGGGAGGGAGGGAGGAGGAGGAGGGAGGGGGAGGGGGGGAGGGGGGAGGGAGGAGGAGGAGAGGGAGAGGAGGAGGAGGAGGGGAGAGGAGAAGGGGAGTGGGAGGCGGAGGAGGGGAAGAGGAGGAGGAGGAGGAGGAGGGGAGGAGGGGGGAGGAGGAGTGGAGGGAGGCGGGGGGTGGAGGAGGGCGCGGAGGAGGAGGGAGGAGGAGGGTATGGCCTCCTCCTTCGAGCTGCGGGCAGTGCCGAGCGATGCGAAGCCCCGCACCCGCGCCCCGTGGCCTCTCCCCACCTCCTCCCTCTCCTCCTCCTCCTCCTCGCTCCTCCTGCCTTCATCCCCTCCCCTCCTCCTTCCGCCTACACCTTCTCCTCCTCCTCCTCCTCCTCCCCGCCTCCCTCCTCCTCCTCCTCCTCCTCCTCCTCCTCTTCCTCCTCCTCCCCTTCCTCCTCCTCTTTTCCTGCGTTAAAGAAACCTTCCAGAAGTACCTGTGGCGTTCTTGAGGGTAGCACACTAAATACGTACGCGACTCGGCTCCCCAAAAAAAACTGGCGGGCGCAGCGGGCAACTTAGGACAACGAGGTCAGGAAAACAGTAGTAGATCGAGCAGCAGCCCGCCAGGTCCCAGAGGACGGCGCTGACCTTAATAAGATAAACCCAAGATACGTCCTAGTAAGACAACCTCGGCAAAAATCCCCTTAAGTTCCATTGGAGGTGCCGCCTCAGTTTGTAAGGTGCAAGACAACATACGAAGGAGCGAGGAGAGCCATGCAAGTGGACATATGCGAACTGAAATGTAACAGTCCTAGGGTTGCTGCCCAGGGCTTTAAGGTGTACATCCTTCCCAACAAGACCCCCGCACTGATCATCCACCTCCACCGAAACCCCACCGCCAGTCCCCAAGGTCAGAAAGAGGCAGGCGGTGCGTGCAGGCTTGCACGAATGTTTCGGAAACTGAGGCTGTAAGGTATTTCGTCTGCACACGGGGATGTTGTTGCTACTGTGGGGCGGCACAAAACTTCAAGTGAGTATGCATACAAGAGAGGCGTCGAGTGACTACCAAAGTTGAGTAGCAATGCGAGTTGTGGCAAGGCAAGTGATGTGCAGGTCAGGCCTCTGGCGAAATAGACCGTGGTACGGCTGGCGTCCTTCGTCTGAGGGTCAAGAGGGCCTTAGAGATGAGTAGTGCTCCTCCCCACCACCCCGTAAGGTAATGCACCCGCTCCCTCTAATCCCTGTCCATTCTGACAGTACGTGGCTGGCTGCAAATGTAAGAAGGAAGGGAATGTACATGAATCGGCCTCGGAGTGAGATGCACAAGCAGGCTGAGCTGTGTAGATACAGTCTTGCAAAAGGTTCAAACTGCTCGTGGGGTTGAGTAGGGGGTGTGAGTCGAGGAGAGAGTCAAATGAGCTGCCGAGGTTGGCAGCCATCAAGTCAATTACATAAGTGTGTGTGTGTGGCAGCTCTTGGGTTGCAGCCCAAAGCTTTTTTTGGTGTACGCCAAACCACTTCGGCCCCGGGAACCTCGTGTTTTTTTGTAATCTTCTTGTCGGGTTCAACACGGAGCCTTGTTGTCCAAGATGCCTGTACAAGAGACGGGTGCCGCCGCTGGTTGCAGGTCGTGGGTTGCCGCCCTGGGTTGCGCCCCCGAAACCATACTGTCCTCCCCAAGCCTGCCCCGATGAAATCGCCCCCATCCAACCCCTGTCCATCATGACAGTGCGTGGCTGGCGGCCAATGTGGGAAGACGGGGACTGTAAAATAAGCCTCGGAGGGAGATGCGCTGCTCGAGCTGCACAACAGGCCATAGCCTGCTCTCGGTACGGCACGGCGCGGGGATGAGCAGGACGACGATGAGGAGGAGGATGAGAAGGAGAAGGAAGAGGAGGGGGAGAAGGGAGGAACGTACGTAAGAGTGGGGGGCGGGGGCCGTCTTCGAAGGGGTGAACGTAAAGGGGGGCATTATCCTCCTCCTCCTCCTCCTCGTCCTCCTCCTCCTTTTCCTCGTTCCCTGTTCTCCCTCTGCCAAAACCAAAGCTTTCAGTGCATCGAGGGCCATGCAGAACTATAGTACCCTTCTCACGCGGGCACGCATCTCGGTGGACAAAAACAACATCCTCCCTTTCCACCCTTTTTGTCGCTCGTCCACCTCCCTCTAAGCCACGCCCTCCTCCTCTCCCTGCTCGGGGTCGGGGGGCAGCCAACGTTCGCTGCCACTCCTGGCCCAGAGCGATCAGCACTGTGCATTGGCAGAGGTATTACAAGGACGCACGAGGACAATGCAGAGGACATGTCACGGAGAAGACCGCGGCAAGCAGAGCGTAAGGGCATGGGGTGGACGAGGGAGAGCAAGGGCCAGGCGAGAGCCAGGAAGCCCCGAGGAACGGCTGAGAGGGAACCACAGGGTGAGGGTAAGGTGGCCTGGGAAGGACGGAGAGAAAAGGGGTGATAAATGCACGCGCGTGAATGTATATATATATATATATATATATGTATATATGTGTATATATGTATTTATATATACCTATAGATATGTATACTAGAACCATCGCGCGCGCTTCGCGCGCGTTCAGGTTCTAGCCCAGGCCGGGGGCGCGCTAGAAGATCTTGGACAGCGCTATCAAGCACAGGCGCGTGACATAGTCGTGCCTCCTGAGGGCCTCTTGGGAACCTCTTGGGTCTCCGTGGGGGCATCTGAAGGGCTTCTGGGGGCTTCTCCGTGCTTCCTCAATTGGCTGTTGGAGGCACCTCTTGGGTGCTTCTCGGGAGGGCATCTTGGGGCTTCTTGGGGTCCCTTGGGGCATCGTCAGGGTTCTCCGGGCAGTCGGAAAGTGATGTTCTGCAGTCTGAAGCAGTCAATTGGCCGTCTTGGCTGCGTGGAGGCCCGGCTTGAGGCCACTTTGGGGCAATCCAGAAGCCTCCCGGGGCCTCCTTGAAGCAATTTTGATGCATCGAGAGCACTGTTCAGCTATCTTGGGGCCCTGTGTACGTCTCCTTTGAGCGTTTTGGGGCCTGGTGGGGGGCTTTGGGGGGCCTCGTCGGACCACTTGGGGACTCTTGGGGCCTCCTGTGGGCCTCTTGGGGCTCTCTCTCTCTTGGTGCCCTCTTGGGGCCCTCTCGGGCCGTCTTGGGCGCCTCGGGCACCGTCTTGGGGTGCATACAGAGAGAGAGAGAGAGAAAACAAACAAAAAAAAGAGGAAGAGAGAAAGAGAGAGAGAGAGAGAAAGAAAGAGAGATAAACAACAACGAGAGAGAAACAGAAAGAGAGAAAGAGAGAGAGAGAGAGCGAGAGGGAGCGAGAGAAGGAGCGGGAGAAAGAGAGAGAGAGACTAAGAGAGAGCATCACCCAGAAAAGAGAAACGACAACGAGCGACAAGAAAGACGCCCGGCGAGCCGCCGAACAACAAAAGAACGCGGCCACGGTGGGGGAGCTCGGCAGCGGCCACACGATGGCAGAACCACCCGGCAGAGCAGAACCACCCAGCAGAACCACCCCACGGCAGCGGCCACAGCGGATGGCCCGGGGCAGGCGCGGGCAGGCGCGGGCGAGGCCTGGGCGCTCTCGGTCACGACCACGGTGGCGAGGTCTGCGGTGACCTGCGGCGTGCCGGTCGCGCGAGAGCGCTGGGGCTGGCGAGGAGGACAGGGAGGAGGAGAGGAGGAGGAGGAGGAGGAGGAGGAGGAGGAGGAGGAGGAGGAAGGAGGAAGGAGGGAGGAGAAGGAGGGAGGAAGGAGGAAGAGGAGGAGGAGGAGCGGGAGGATCAGGAGATGAGTAAAGGAGGCGGGAAGAGGATGAGCAGGGCTAGGATGGAGGAGGGGGGGAGAGAGTAGGGGGGGGGGTGGGGGGATGGGGGGGCGGTGTGGAACGAGGAAAAGGGGGCGGGTTACTCGGGTCGCCGTCTCGCCAGCGCGCCGCGGCCGCCTGCTTCTGTCCCGGATTTGCTGCGTGTCGTTTTGCCCTCGTTCCCCCAACTCCTTCCCTCCGCATTTCCTGTTCCTTGCCTCGGGCGGTGGTGCGCGGCGTCTAACGGTGTGGTTCGATGGCGCACACCACACGGCCGCGGCCCAGTCTCCTCCGTTTTCCGGTTCCTCCCAGTTCCCTTTCCCGCTCCCTTCCCCTCCCCCTTCCCCGCTGGTGCCATGTAGGGGTGCGCCCTGTCGCCGGCACCCCAATGGAGTGGCGACCTCCCTTCCCTTGTTTGTGGAGAAGATACTCGGCCGCGACACGCCTACCCCTGGTGGACACGCTCCTCAAAATCAGGTGCGTGCCGGGGCTGCGGGCCCAGCGGGGGGAGGAGAAGGAGGAGGAGGGCGGGAAGAGGGAGGAGGAGGGGG